ATTTTAACTCTTTGTTTGTCCAAAATTACATGATAGTATTACTGTAGATTCACTTCAGTCCTTGGGTGAGGTGTTCTAAAGTTAGGAAACTCTACTCCTGAGCACTTCCCCAAAGAATGAAGCACAAAACAAGAATAGAAGAGATTACAATATGCTGGATGTAGGAAGAAGTATCTTGAAAGGTCAAGGTGGATACAGCAGAGAACACAAGTAGCAGGGTGGCTGAACCTTTCTCTTCTGGGTATTTTACAAAGGTGAGAATGGAAACTCTTCTGCCCAGGATCATGCAAGTCATGCATGTGAAAACTGACCTCCACTTCTGTAAGCCAACGGAGACACAAACAATTAACCACGTTCCATCATCTTGGTTTAACTAAGAAGTCAGTTAAAGGCTATTCTGTGTGGCCAACCACATTTGCTACCACAAGTACCCCTGTAGTTTTGCTTGCTGGGGCCCAGGAAGGCACTACTTCTCTATTTACTGCTATTAGTTTAAAAGTCAGCTTTGTTTCACTTATTCCTTCCTCATAAGAGTGGGATAAAGACTCGCTGGGCTAACGATGGAATACAATGCATCATCTGTTCTGTCCCTGTATGTCCTGCTCGCATCGAGGAAGACAGCATTTAGTTACTGTGGTAGATGTGGTTGTCTCATATCAAACCCTCTGCAATGTGATCCTTTTTTAATTTATCAAAAATTTCCACCACCTCCTCTCCTCCCATTTCCCTCCCCCTCCCACCACTCACCCTTCTGCTCCTTCTCCAGTCCTAAGAGCAGTCAGGATTCTCTGCCCTGTGGGAATCCAAGGTCCTCCCCCCTCAATCCTGGTCTAGGAAGTTGTGCATCCAAACAGACGAGGCTCCCACAAAGCCAGTCCGTGCAGTAGAATCAAAACCCAGTGCCATTGTCCTTGGCTTCTCAGTCAGCCCTCACTGTCAGCCACATTCAGAGAGTCCAGTTTAATCACATGCTCCTTCAGTCCCAGTCCAACTGGCCTTGGTGAGCTCCTATTAGATCAGTTTCACCGTCTCCGTGGGTGGACGCACCCTCGTGGTCCTGGCTTCCTTTTTCATGTTCTCCCTCCTTCTGCTCTTCATTTGGACCTTGGGAGCTCAGTCCAGTGCTCCAATGAGGTTCTCTGTCTCTATCTCCATCCATTGGCTGGATGAAGGTTCTATGGTGATATACAAGATCTTCATCAGTGTGGCTACGGGATAAGGCCAGTTCAGGCACCCTCCTCTGCTATCCAAAGGAAAAGCTGGGGACATCTCCTTGGACACCTGGGAACCCCTCTAGAGTCAAGTCTCTTGCCAACCCTAAAATGGCTCCCTTAATTAAGATATCTACTTCCCTTCTCCCATATCCACCCTTCCTCCATCTCAACCATTGCATTTCTTCAAGCTCTCCCCAACCCCCGCTTCTCCCTTCTCTCTCCCCATCTCTCCTTACCCAAACCCCACCCCCATCCCGTGCTCCCAACTTTTGCCTGGCAATCTTGTCTACTTCCAATATCCAGGAAGATACCTAAGTAAAGCAATATTTATGATTCAACTTCCATTAACTACACGGTGGACTTTATAGACTGCATGGGTTGTAGGGGAGAGATCAGAGACCAAAGTACTGGTGAATGAAGGGTCCAAAAATAAGAATATTAAAAAATTTAGATTCTAAAAATAAGGATGTAAAAATAAAGAAATATAAAGTTTTAAGTCTATCTAGGAGAATGAAAACAGACCATCAGCAGCTTTCTCAGTAGCTTAAGGATTAATTATTAACAATGGGTTACTCTGCTTTACAACCCATAGCTCTGTTTACAAGGCAGAAACATCTCTCTGCAAACTGAGAGCTAGCCTATGGATATGAGCTAAGTCAACTTTTAGAAAATAGATATATGACCTCTGGGTTATGCATTATCCCTGCTATGTGAAACTAGAAGCATCAACGGGGAGACCACTGGGCTTCAGTAAACACCACCAAAAAGTACCGAAAAAGATAATAGATTAAGTGCAAACACTAGTTTAACTAAAAAAAACTCTGTTAATGGAGATTGTAAAGTAAGACAGTCTGTATCTGAGTTTTACCTTGAGACTGTAAAATTTCTTTGTTCAGACATAATGCTTGGTGCCCCTACTATAAAATGATGGGTTCAAAAACCAGCTTTTTACCACAGCCTTACAAAACCCATCTCTGGCTATGGTTTCAAGTTGATAAGCTTTTTGTGCCCAATGGAATTTTTTTTTTTATTTTTTTAATTTTTTTCCTGGATTCTGGTTTCTGGAATAAAGTTTGCTTCTGGTTTATTAGAAAAAAAAGATAATAAAAAAATAAAAGTCAGCTTTGTGGGCAGTTCAGGGACCCAAGCAGCTGTTCTGGTTCATTTTGAGCTAAGATGTTTGAGAATTGCTTGGCTCTTAATAACTGATAGTTTGAAGCTACCCCTTTGATAACTGCTTGGGCTTATAACCACTATTTGCCTTAGCTCTGATAATTACACCTTCATCTTAACTTAGCTGTATCCTGCTGTCACTCTTCCATGTTCTGATTACATGTTCTATCACGAATATCTCTGCCTTCCTTATTTATTCATTCATGTCTCATGTATCTTTTCATTGGTTTTCATCTAGCAGATGACTTTAACAACCTTATCACTATTTCATTCAATTTTATTTACATTTTTATTTTAATTTGGACTAAAGTTTAGGTAGATGTAAAATAGTCAAACATACATGTCATTAAAAGAAAAATAAAAATTCACATACAGAAGAGTTTATTAATTAAAACATTCTAAGAAGCACAGAAATGCACAGATATTTTGGGTACGTGTGTGTGTGTGTGTGTGTGTGTGTGTGTATGAGGGTGTGTGTTTGTTTTAAGGAAAGGAAATAGTTTTAGTTAACATGGGCTTATAATCAATATATGCTCTGGTGATAATATCGTGTTTTACTCACAGTAAATATTATTAGTAAAAAGTTTATTTCCATAATTTTCTAGATGTTTTAAAATATTTTGTGTTTATTTTAATTTAATAAAACAGTAGCTTATTATTAAAACCCTAACAAATAAAAATTGAATGTATTTATACATAATCATATATATTATATATTATATATATATATTATCATGTACAAGGTACATATTGTATGCATCAGATGATTTGATAATGCTAAAAATCATAAACATAGGACTAGCTAACTTTAAGAAACATAGAAACGGTGTATTACTACAATTATTTATATGCTAAATTTAAAATCAATTCTCTCTTTGCAATTAAGGGGCTTGAGAGGTGGCTCAGCAGGTAAGAATTCCTGCTGGTCTTGCAGAAGACCCGAGTTTGATCCTCAGTAATTAAACCAGATGACTCAAAGTCTCCCATAACTCTAGCTCAGAGAATCCAATGTCTTCTTCTGGCCTCCTTATAAACTGCATGTATATAGCATACATTCTCACAGACATATTATATAATATATATATATCATATTATATATAATATATATTATTATAATATTATAAAATATATAATATTATATATATTAGAAATACATACATTTCTAATAAAAAAGAATGCTGTTAAATATGCATCTGTTCAATGACACATCTTGGCAGTCACAGACTGAGCTTGACATCATTCACAGAGTAATCAATACCTGTGAGCACAGAGTATGGCTCTTAACAGTGCCTAGAGACCCATGCCCACCTTTATTTATTTATTTATTTATTTATTTTTTAAAAAGTAATTTTATTAAATTATAAAAGTTTCCATTTCCGCCCCTCCTCCCACCACCCTCCCACTCCCCCCACTCCCTCTCCTCCTCCCTCTTCGGCCCTTAGGGCAGTCAGGGTTTCCTGCCCTGTGGGAAGTTCAAGTTCCTCCCCCCTCCCTCCAGGTCCAGGCAGGTGAGTATCCAAACAGACTGGATCCCCAAAATCCAGTATATGCAGAGGAAACAAGTCCCAGTATCATAGTCAATGGCTTTTCAGAAAGACTTCGGGTCAGCCACAATCAGAGAATCCGGCCAAATTCAGAGAATCTGGTTAGATCACGTGCTCGTTCAGTCCCAGTCCAACTGGCCTTGGTAAACTCTCATTAGGGAGTAGGGGAGGAATGGGGAAAGCTCGGTGGCCTGGGAGGGGGAGAGTGAGGAAGGATGAATATGGGATCAGGGAAGAATATGTTTTAAATAAGGGAGTCATTTTAGGGTTTACAGGAGACTTGATTATATATGGGATCCCAGGTCCAAGGAGAGATCCCCAGATTATTCTCTGGACAGAGGAGAGGGGGCCTGAACCGGCCGTGGCCCATAACCATACTGATGTATATTTTGCTTATCACCATAGATCCTTCATCTGGCAAAGGACGGCAATACAGACGGAGACCCACATTGGAGCACCGGACTGAGCCCCCCAAGGTCCAAATGAGGAGCAGAAGGAGGAAGAACAAGAAAAAGAAAATCAGGACTGCGAGGGATGCTATCACCCACTGATACAAGGGAACGGATCTAATGAGAGTTTACCATGTCCACCTTTAAGAGACACTGCACCTGCCTAGAAAATTTTACTGTGCTTCTTTATCATTGTTACTTTGTTGGAAATCCACTGCCTGAAAAGAATCAATTAGTTTTTATACAAGGGGAAGGAGACAACACAAACAAAAAATAGACTAAGCCAAACACGAGTCTGTCTTAGAAGCTGGAAATCTCTAAAGCATTTTTCCTAATTAATTCCAAGTAACATGAGTATTCAGCACTCGTTCAGTTCTGTCTGCCCTGATATTTGCTGCAATGATTAGATAATGTGGCATCCTCAGCAAGGTGGAAAGTACTGGCTAGAACTTACACATTCTTTGGTATTTATGTTTTTACTGAAATGAGAAGCTTTTGCGGAGTTTTTCAATTCTATAAAAATACATAAACCACTCCAGGCAGAAAACAGGTTTGTACCACTATCTTTAGTTTTAATCATTTGTAAAATTTGGTTGTTAACTATTTCCCAAGTTCATTGAATTCTAAGATTATACCTTTCTCAAACTCAATATATTCAAGTTTTCAGGAAATAAATGTTTCCTGACATTTACAGGTTTATTATTTTTACCCAAGACAGACACAGAGATTGGTGGAAAATGTGATCCTGAATTCAGTGAGACGTTTTGATACGGACAGAGTGATATCACATACAGTCCTCCACTATCAGCTGCTAGAGTCAGTGATACTATCAGCAGGCCCCTCCCCATGTCACTGTGGAGGTAAAAACCTGGTAGAGCCAGGTCATCATAGGTCTCAGCTAGCAGCCAGATCAACCCTGCTCTCCGGCTGGTGAAAACCAAAGAAAATTGACTCAGGTGACATCAGCGTCTGTGGGTATGGGACTGGGGCTGTGCTCACACACTGTCTGGGACAGAGGGATAAAAAAGAATGCCGTGGGAAGCTGGGTAGAAAGTTCAGAGGGCTCTGAGTTGTTCCAGGGAGAGACTGACCTGCGCTGCCCATTCAAATCCGGTGTTAACGTCGTCACAGAGGTGAAGGCCAGACTGGACCAAAATGAGAGTATATTTAAAAATTATTCACTGTGTAACATGAAGATTATTTTCGATTTATCGAATATTTTGGAAAATACTTATGCACTTTGTAGAAATTCTCAATAGGCATTGTATTCTCCACAGAATACTACCTAGCTGATCTGTAGTGACTTATCCAAAAGGTTATTTCTATAAACTGAAATTAATTGTAATAGGAAGTGTTTGAGTAGCTTGCTGATCCACTTACATATTTACAGATTGTCTGGTAGCTAACTAATATAAAACAATAACCAGAAAATTAGATATACTTAAATAATATACACTTTATAATTTAACATAAAAGCAATGTATTTTACTACTTCTGGTAATCATTTAAATCAATTTACTTCAAATTCTAAAAAACCTATTACAAGGTTAGCTAGTAATATATTTTAAGAATTCAAGAGTCATGTTTTCTCTTGAATAGTTTGCTGACTCTGTCCTCAGAATCACCAGAATCTTTTGTATGGGGAAAGAAGCTTTGCCTGCTTAAATCACTAATTATCCCTTTTTCCTCAGTGAATTATTTTGAATTAGTTATGTTAAAATGCACCTAAATATTTTGGGACCATATGTGAAAATTCACTAAATATAACAAAGTAATATTACATCTATTAAAGTAAAAAGATCTAGAAATAAAGCACATAGATAAAATCAATACTTCTCCAAAGTTTGCATTTTATAAACTAACAATTTGGCTATTTTCTGCTTCTTTTACTTTGTTTTATGAATTTATTTTCCCAATTATATATATATATATATATATAGTTTTAATTTAATACTCTTTCTTTCCAATAAGAATATTTCTCCATTACAAACAGTATTCTAAATATGATTTTTTGAGGTACATTAAAATGAATGCAGCAAGATTTAATCAGTTCTTAGGGGATTTAAGAATTTTTTCTGGATATCAAACCCAGATTTCAAATGCTAGCTAAATTTTTACCACCAAGCCAAATCCCCAGTACCTCTTATTCTTAACCTGCAATTTCCTTATTATTTTAGTAGATAAGGTTTTAAAGAAATTAAAATTCAAAAGGTTGGCACATCCCTGTTTCTCTTGACCTATTTTGTTTCCTAGAACATTACGGCTCTGCCTTTAGAGCTCTGGGTTTTCAGGCCTGTACCTCTAGCTCTGATAACCTGGTTTTAGAGTCGTCTGTCAATATTTTTTTGAATACATGCTCCTAGCTGGGAAGAAAGGGTATATTTGTTTTTCCTATTAGTAGTAATTAACTCAGAAGAAATGTTTTCCTATTAATTCAGATTCTTTTCTTGCTTTCTGGGCAATGAAGCTTATTTTATACCTTTGTACATGTTGCTTAAAAGAGTTCATTAAATATAGAAGAAGAATATTTTTGTATTTAAGTATATCTATACAAACTAAGTAATGTCAATAATTGGCTGTCTGATATAGGCAATGCCATTTGGATTCCTTGGTGCTCAGTTTCATCACTGTGCTTGTTGTTAGAGCTACAGTTGGCGCTCTTCTCTTGGCTGCGTGGTCTCCGTGGCATGGTTGCTTATTTTTCTCACACTGTATGACAAGGACCATGAAGCCCAGTGACGACAAAATTAACAAAATAGGAAAATGAAAGGTGGTTTGATATAATACAGTAGTAGAGTTTATATGAGTGTGCTTTTGATAAAAATGACTCCATACAAGGTCTACTTGTTGCCATTGGCTAATTCAGGTATTCAGTTGTCAGATAAAATTTTTCAACAAAATTCTTAAATCACAGTATTTGTTGTCAGTTTAAGATAACATATTTGATAATTGTTAGATGATGTACATCACTTTCTAAATTTTAGAAACGTATAGAATTAAATTGTCAGTTTAAGATAAAATATTTGATCATTGTTAGATACCACTATTGAATTATGTTAAATTTCTGATCTAAGGTATCATAGAGAAAATATTTTAAAAATCATTTACTGTTGTAAGGAGATCACTTGTTTGTCCTGGCCACCCAGCCCAGAAATAATCACACAGAAACTGTATTTATTAAATTACTGCTTGGTCCATTAGCTCTAACTTCTTATTGACTAACTCTTACATCTTATTTTAACCCATTTTCTACTAATCTGTATATCACCACGAGGTTGTGGTTGTGGTCTACCAGCAAAGTTTCAGCACATCTACCCCCAGCTATGGATGGATCCATGGCGTCTTTGTCTCCACTCTTCTTTCTCCCAGCATTCCATTTGGCTTTCCCTGCCTACCTAAGTTCTGTCCAGGCCAAGGCAGTTTCTTTATTCAATCTCACATCAATTTACATTCATGGAGAAATTCACTTTTTCCAGATCATTCTTCTTGTTATTCAGCTCTCTATTACTTTATGATTCATGTTCCCATTATTAATTGGATTAATTCTACTTCTACCTTGTGAAACACTGGTAAGGGTCTTTGTTGTGCTCCTGCTTGCAGCCATCAGAAATGAGTGAGGAAAGAAGGGCACACGCAGAACTGACATTTTTCCTTAGGAGTAAGAAAGACAAAAAACAGTCAGCTAAGAAAAATGAAGGTAACATTTCTCTACTTTTATGTGTGTGTGTTGAAAACACAATACCAAATATGGAAAATATGAATTCATATTAATTACGTGAATTGATATTTGATATTATGTATGTCACATGTCTGGCTATTTTTATTATTGTAAAATTTATTACTGGATAAATAACCAATGAGTGGACTGATCTTAATTTTAACCTCAAGCATAAATATCCATCTGCTCTAATTATAAGGTTTCCTAAGCTTGTTATGTATCTTGCCTTTTGATTTTATGTAGATAGTCAATGGCACATGACTGCTGTGATCCTGGGAACAGTATGTCTTTGTCTTACAATGTCAAATGCAGTCTTAGGATATGCATGTGAGTATGTTTTATACACATATATATATCTTCTATAAACATCCTAGTGATTGTGTGTATTAATGATAATGATGATAGTGATAAGGACTTTATAAGTATTTTATATTTCTACTTTTATGACACATAAAACACTATATTGCTGTAATTACACAGAAATACCATGTGTAAGTATAAAGCAGTTTAATACATACAATGACTTTAGTATGAACTAGTTTGCTTACAATCAGTGAGTTGGGAATACTTGTATTTACTTACTAAACTCTTTTTAATGAAAATAAGTGTTAATACATCATTTAGTAAACACAAATATGCATGTAGTCAAATTCTTCCAGGTGTATTGATCAACTTACAATGAACACAAAACTGAAATCTGTATGTAGTTTCAGTATGTAAAAGTTCAGTGGCCTTCTTAGATTGGGGCAATTGCCATTTTTTTATTGATAATGTGGACAGTTTTTAGATTGACTTCCAAACACTCAAGTGTCATACAAGGGACTGAAGAGATGACTCAGTGGTTAAGATCACAATTCCTGCAGTTCTTGTAATGGTAAAGGGCACAGGCATTGCAGGACCTGACTTCAGTTCACAGAAACCAATGGTAGCTCACAAACATCTATAATTTTAGATTTATCAGGCAGAGTCCACACCCTCTTCTGGCCTCCAAGGTCACTGAATGCATGTGGTTCACATACATACATTCAGTCAAGACACTCATACACACAAAATAAAATAAAATAAAACAAAATAAAATAAAATAAAACAGTTTTTAAAGAGTCATACAAATGTTTAACAAACATCTCCATGAAGCAGGATATCCACTCTATGGCAAATGGGCAAGCTAGTTAATAAATGTCCTATGTATGTGTACTTCAAATACTCAGTTTGCTGAAATACTTCTGGAAGCACAAAGGAGAATAAACCTTACCTCTTTGCTCCATGAATATGCAATTTTTTCAGTTTTGATACATTTATAGTCAGGTAGTTTTATTATTTAATTGATTTGGTTGTTGTTTAAGACAGGGTCCTGTTCTGTAAGCCAGCTAGACTAGAACTCACCCAGATCCACTAGCTTCTGTCATTTTTACCTTCAGTGCCAGGATTAAAAGCTTGGTTGTCACACCCGACAGAAGTTGTTTTTTAACTCCTCAATCTCCTGCCTTTAGATCCCAGTGCTGAAATTACAGAATTATAGTGATACACCTGACTCTAACAGATTTTAAAAATTACACTCTATAATTTCTTTCAGCATCTTTTTATGTTTGTTTAAAAACATTTTGGTTTAAAATGTTTGGTTCATTGATTCAATAAATAATTTTGGTTATCTCCCATTTGTAAAAACTATGTATAGCATCGAAAACTTACATATGTGTATACATATGTATATATGTATGTATTTTTAAAACTACTCATGTATAAAATGAATGCATTGATAAAGATATGATGCTGTTTTATATGGATGACATATGACATCCTGAGGTCAAGAAGCCTTCCTGGCTGAAGCAATAATTGAGGTTAAATAAGAGACCAGCAAGAATTAGGATAGTGAAAGAAAACACTCCGAGCTATGGTGTGTGTGTGTGTGTGTGTGTGTGTGTGTGTGTAAGAGAGAGAGATGGGGAAAAAAAGAGTAATCGTAAGGAAGCAGAGGCATGTGGCACAGCAATAGACATAACCACAAAGTTCATGTTGGGTTATTTCTTCATGGTTAGCTGTTGGCAGTAGGTTCAGAATATCAGCACTCACATGAGATCAAGACAGATATCTAGATTAGAGATATGAAATCTGTTGAATTGTGTCCAATTGATTCAGAAAATTACTTAGACTATGCCAAATGGAGACGGAAGGCAGACCATGCAGAAACCTTTCAAAATCAGGGGGCAATGTTGCAATGTTAGAAGACAAAAGGTCTCATATTATTTAGGATAAATAAACATCAAAAAACAGGTGAAAATGATTGAGGATAAACAAAAACAGGAAAATCTGACTAGTAGATGGGCAGAAACACACTATCTGGCACCAGGTACCATGTATTAAGGATAGCCAATGCTAAAGTGATATAACAATCTAAACAGACAGAACTTTTATCAAGAGGGAGATCACTAAAGCTTCTTGCTGGTGTGAATTTGGTAGAACAAAGACTTGACCCAAACCAAGTTGCAATACCTGGAATTTTTAAAATAAGAAATCATTAAGCATAGAAAATTGTATTCTTTAAAATATGGAAAAATAAATGTTGAAAGTATGTAGATTTACATGATCTCTTATGGCTTCACAAAATGGAATTTTTGCAGTAGTCAAAAATAACTATGGAGACATGTAACAATGTGGATGAATATTAACCTGATAATACAAAGTGAAAAAGCAGCCATTTTTGCATGTCATGACGCATTTTTATAAGATCATAGATAGCCTTCAATCAGCAATGTAAGAACAATTTTAAGAAATAAGAGACTAAAAGTAGCTCTAAACCAAATCAAAGGAATAATATATAAATAAATACATGTAATGATTAAGGTTCTAGTGCCAGTTTGGACAAACACTGAACGGAATATCTAAATGAACAGAATAGAGCAATGATGATAACACCCTATCTACAAATAATTGCAAACAATAAATTTTTCTAAATAACCATGAAAAAATAGTTGTAAATGAGAAAACACAGACACTTGCTTCATGCTCTTACATTGCTAGTTCTTGAGTTTTTAAGACATCTTAAATCCTTCTTTAAAGGATTTATTACTTTTTTAAAGTTATGTGTTTATGTATGTGAAGGGGGCAAATGCATAGGAGTGAAAAGCCTGTCAAAGCTAGGAGAGGGCCTCAGCTCTGCCATAACTGGAGTTTCAGTGAGTTGTTAGCTGTCCAATGTGAGTGTTGGGAACCAAAACTGGGTCCTTTGTAAGAGCAGTACATACTCTGAAGCACTGAACTCTCTCATCATATCTGAAATAATGATTCCTTTCAGAGACTTGGCCTTCTGTTTGCACTTAAAAATGTGTTTGATCTTCTCCATCCATTTTCAGAGAGGCCATTATAAATTGAAATATAAAGTCATATCCTTTAAATTACACATGTAGACATTAAATGGAATAATAAACTTCAAAGCCTTATTTGAAGATACAAGGCATGGATTCTGTTTAAACAAATTTTTCTTTTCAGTTGAACTTTTGTTTTATAAATATGTTAAAAACTTTAAAAGTGGAGTGTTGCAAGTTATAAACAGCTGTGTTTAAAAATCTATTTTATATTCTAGCATTTTAAAATATTTTATACTTTTCTACTGTTCTTTAATTAACACCATCTACTATTTACAATTACAATTAATTGAATTCTGGCGAGTTATCACCATTTGTAGTTCTAATCTCATAGCATGGACTTAGTTTTTCAGTGCACTTCTAACTTCAAATTTCAACAAGGAAAAGATGCAAATAAAATTGCTGTCTCTTCAGTCAACGAAGCAGGTCCTTCAACTCTACTGCCAACTACAGGTATGCATCAAAATCTGAAATGAAAACCGACATACTTTTAAAGACATTTATCTTTCTATCTCATTTCAAATTGTAATTTTAAAATTTCACATTGAACTTGGACAGGATTTGACTTCATTCACTTCTCCTTATCAAGTCCGTCAGTTTTCTTACAGTTGATTAAACTTTTGGCCTTCATAGAAGGAGTTGCTATTGGTTCCCATCTTGAATTTATTGAGCATTTTATACTTTTCTTTACTGTGGGTGTATACTGTGGGTACATTTACGTAACGGAAAGTCTATTGTATCAATGCCACTCCTATTATTCATTTTGATGAATCTCTTCTTACAGATAGAAATGCTTAATGCTGGTGTATTTCTCCTTGAACAGTCAGGATTTGTCAGTGCAACTGTAACAAAGCCCTTGTATCTTTCAGAGACAGTTTCTGTGTTCACAATATTCTTTCCTATAAAATTGGGCAGAAGAGCTCTTTTTAGTGAAAACAATTGCTCTTTAGAGTTCAATTAGTCTTTGGAGTCAAAAATGAAGCACCAAAAGTCCATGTCTTGAAAGGAGTCTGAGGATAACAGTTGCTTTTATTTTCAGAAAAAGGCTATTACACATGCCAAGGAAGATGGTCATGTTGTGGAGAGAACTGTTACTACTTTTCAGAAGAAGAAAAGACTTGGAGTGAGAGTGAGGCATCCTGCAGAGTTCTGGGTTCTCACCTGGCTAAGATTGACAACAGTGAGGAGCAGGTGTGGGGAGTGAGTTCCTTGAGTGTTTCTGGAAAAGTTCATATATCTTGAGCTGGAAAAGTCATTTATGTTCCTTCTACAGTTTTTTGCCTACTGAATAGAAGCACTTGCATATATTGGCACATATTTACCTGCAAAGAAAAGGGCAGAGACATAAAAAGTACCTAGAAGAACATTTTTATGTCATGAGAAATAGCCCTGGTGTGGGGCTATGGAATAATTCTGAGGCACATCATTTGCATTGCATCTTCATAATTTAGCCAGAGCAGACCATTCATTGTTAATGAAAAGCTAGTGAGAAAAACTATCTTTGTTTATATGAGCAGTTTAAAAGAAGGAATTATTTTTTAGTTCTGTTCTTCTATCATCAGTATCTGGAAAAATAATTTACTTCTAGGATGGAACATGAGTCCTTATCATTGGACATGGGAGAAACAGAATTTAAAATCAAGAGAGAATATAGAAGAGGATGGTGATAGAATTATTCGTCTGAAATAATTTTTATTTTATTCATAACTCAGAATGACATAGTTTCTCTGTTGTTTGTATATGACACTTGCCATTATTCCCAAAATTTAAGAAGAAAAGGGTCACTTTAGCATATTTTGGAGATTTATTTTGAACAATTCAGGTAGACACTAAATTCCATTTTAATATCTACCTTTAGAAATGCTGTTTCTAATAGTTTTTATGCAGGATGTATACAATACCACTGTGTTTGCTAATATATAATTATTTTATTAAAATAGATATTTCATAAAGAAGTAGAAGTTGGAGACAAAGAAATACAAAGACCAATTTATAATTTATATACACCTTTGAACATCTATTGTTGTAAACAAGTTCATTAGATATTGGAATATTGTTTTACTATGAAGACATTTACATAATTTTGCATAATTTACATGTAACTATTAAATTTTCAATAAATCTATTTCAAAGATTTACTTTAGGAGGTGTGTGTGTCTATGTGTGTGTGTGTGTGTGTGTGTGCATGTGTGTGCGTGAGAGAGAGAGAGCAATGCAAACATAGATACAGACACATAGAGAGAAAAAGACAGAAGTACAGGGAGGAGAAAAAGATAAATAAAAGTGATTAACTGTCATACATGTATTAAAAATGGAAGTGAACAATATATATGACTTGGAAAGAGAATTATAAATATAAAATGACTATTTTAGCACATAAAATCTTCAGACAGATTCTATGATCTACATTTAACTGATTCTATAATATACATTTACACATATGGAAAATGCAAGGTAATTAATTTTCTTATTATAAATGAATTCCAGTTTAAAACTTCCTAAGGTTTCTGTTTTCACTTGACATAAAACATCATGACATGGATGGATGCAGGATTTTTTTCTTTAACTACTCATAGTCATCTGCTTCTGCATCAACACCCTTAGACTTACCTTTTCTGAAATATTGTTCAATATATCTTCTCTTTTTCATACATAACTATAGGAGTTCAACTTAAATAATAGAGCATGTAAAATTTTTAGCATTCCCTAGAACTCTTCTGATGGAGGAGGGTCATCTGTCTATTGTTACTTTCATTGGTTAATAAAGAGACTGCCTTGGCCTTTTTGATTGGCCAGCCCTTAGGTGGGTGGAGTAGACAGAACAGAATTGTGGGAGAAAGAAAGCAGAGGCAGGCAGTCGCCATGACTCTCCTCTCCGGGACAGACGCAGGTTAGGACCTTTCCCAGTAAGCCACCACCTCGTGGTGCTACACAGATTACTAAATATGGGTTAAAGCAAGATGTGAAAATTAGCCAATAAGAGGCTGAAAATAATGGGCCAGGCAGTGTTTAAAAGAATACAATTTGTGTGTTTTTATTTCTGGGTGTAAAGCTAGCTGTGCGCGAGCCGGGCGGGAATGCAGCCCGCCACTTCTTTTACACTCTTCAATATGATATCAATAACAGTAGTAAATATAATCTTCTGCTCTCATTACCCACAGAACAGAACTTCTCATTATTCCCATGTCACATGAAGTGATTTATTGGAAATTGTTACAACTTTAACATGAATGTTTGAACTGCCAGTAACATGTCTGTGTGTACTGACCTATATATGCTTTCTTTACATGAAGTACATCTACTTAGGTTTTTACACTTTTTTCTATGGGGTTTATTCCTTCATTGACTTACAGGTTGTCTTTCTTTGTCCTTTAAATAACTACAACATCTCCAAATCTGAGACTTGTTTTAACATGTTTTTTAAAGTGTCCTTTGATACTGAGAAATTCTAAATGTAGTGTAGCTGAACTTTGAACCTTATGTATAATATCTTAAATGGCATTATTGATCCTATAAGGAATACTAAAATTCTAATTTTTCCACAGAACTTTATTCAGTCACGATTGAATTACAGCTATTGGGTTGGATCACGTAAAAATGAAAGACAATTCCAGTGGGTGAACCAGAAGGACACTAAACTTTCTTCAGACTTGTGAGTTTTATTTCATATACTTCCTTAACAAATGTTTACTCTAAGGAAAGACCCTGGTAAAATAGATCATGTTAGTTCACTACTATAGCTTATTATGCATGGAACCTCATGGAAAGCTAAAGACCTAATTAATCAGAGTATAAATGGATTTTTCCAGGTTTCTTATTTTTCTATTATTTTATTTTTTAATGTGTATGCATGATTCACACATGTCTGTGTACCATGTTCATGTCTGATGCACTCAGAGTCCAGAAGGTGATATTGGATTCTCTGGAACTGGAGTTACAGATTGCTGTAAGCAGCCAAGTGGGTGTGGGGGATTGAGACAGTCCTCTGAAAGAGCAGTAAGTGCTCTTAACTGCTGGGCCATCTCTCTAACCCTTCCATTAAGAAAATGTCTTTAAATCCCCATATCATTTAGCAGTTTTATCTAAGAAGGTTATGATGCACACTGGAATAATCACACATGAGTATTTTTATATTGTGATAATAAAAGTTATACTTAATGAATGACTGGTCTTAAATTTTTTTTTGACTCAGGCATTTTCTCACAACACATTCAACATCTGAAGAATGTGGATACCTCAAGCCCATGTCCGTCAGCTCCAGTGTGTGTAGTCGACATTTCCGTTACATTTGTGAAAAGAACTTTCCCTTCCTTGTTACTTCAAAGAACTGATAAAATCATATTTTTCTGTTTTTTTCCTTAACTGCTATTAGTAAAATAAAATCAAAGAGCTTAGAATCTTGACCCAAATCAGTAAACTTCTCATGATTTAGAAAGCCTTATTCTCTTGAAATGATAAAGCAAAGATTTTTAGGCAGAAAATTAAATAAACTCAAGAAGTACATATGTACAATATATATACAAAATATATATTATGTACACAATATTATATATATGGCAAAATGGCAAAAATCAATAAACTGAAAAAGAGGAAACACTTTTTTTTGAGTGAAACACCTTGTATCTATTTCTCCTACTCATCTAGGCAAATTTAGTTCAGTGGATGAGTGATAGATTTGCATTGTTTAAAATACAAAAGAAAGAAAAATTGAACTGTAAAATCACTTATTCTTTCCTTGGTTTCCAATAACTGTCCGACTCAAACAACTAGATTATGGATATCATTTAGCATATTCCTAGCTAACTTTTATATCTTGAATTAACACATGTATATAAATCTGTGTATCACCACATGGCAGTGGCTTACCGGGTAAAATTCTAGGACATCTGTCTCTTCCAGCAACTACATGACTTCTCACTGACTCCACCTAATATAAAGATATATAATTTTCCAGCATGACTATATTCTGCCCTGCTATAGGCTAACACAGCTTCTTTATTAGCCAAAGGGATACACAGGAGAATCCTACATCAAAATACTCCTTACTGGTTTTGGTGGCAAACCTCAAGATCCTGCCTTAAAATTCCCTTAAATTATATGATATATATATTCATCTGAATATCTTTTCATCCATTCTTATCTCATCTGCCCATGATGCCCCATTCCCCTGTTGGACAGGGAACTCATATGTAAACTTCAGACCTCAAAAGGAAAGCAAATTTTACTAATCCACCCCTGAGTGCTTGGATCTTATCCCCAGTGGTTTGTGATGCCTTACACAGACACTCAATACTTAATTCCTCAGGGTGTAAGTCACTCAGCTCCAAATGGTCATTCTGAAGATGTGCTGTCAGGGCTATAATGTTTCTTACTTATTAAGACTGAAGGATATCTACTTATCTACCCATATGTAAATCCACAGAAAGAGATAATTGGTGGATGTGTAGTCTCTGGAGCATATTTCTGTGATGACTCTTTTTATCATCTGTTCTAAATTAGTAAGTACTTTACCTCTTTTACCTTTGGCTTCTCAGAGACTAAACTGGAATTTATGCTTTGATTTTTGGTCCTTTTGTTTCTATATTTTCTGAGTGACAGATCATAAGTTCAAATTGTAATCAAGGAATAAAGTTCATTTTCTGAACCTTTATCAGATAGCCACTTACTGTTGGGTGGAGCATAGTCATCCCAAATGGTTTGACTTCTGCTTTCCACTAAGCCACAGACATGCCATCTTTCTTTTGCTGCATGTCCTTGAATGCTATATTTTTTCAGGACTGAGATATTTAAGAAAATATGTAGCTCTGGCTGAGTTTGAACTCACAGAGTTTCATCTACCTTTGTCTTCTGAGAGCTGGGATTTAAAGACGTACACCACCATGCCAAGCTTTGAACACAATTTTATGACAGAGAGAAGCACATCTTCTTGATGATGAGGCTGCATTTCACACTTTAGTTCAAGCTATAAACATATAGTAGGAACCACCCAAAAGAAGAACCATTGCCCACTGTCACAGGAGGGAAAAGAACACTCTTTTAGCTTCACTCTTTAGGAATCTTTCCTACCACTTGCTACTGTAGCCATTTTCCTTTTGTCAACAAACAATGCATTCCTCTCTGCAGGACCTCTGTATTCAGTGATCATTCTGCATTCAGTAATGCCTCAATCATAACCATTGCTAAGTATCCTTCTCTGCAAGTACTTAGCTATTTACTCATAGGACTTCCCTAGCATCGTTAACAAACATCAGTCTAACACTGTCCCCTAAACACCCCACTCTGCAGTCTCTGGCCCTTTGACTTTCTTTTTATGGAGGATGTTCTTCATTACTATATACTATTCATGCAGTGTTGCTTATTTTCACTCAGAAAATTTCTTCAACCTCAAGGACTTTCCTTAGTCATTTTATTAAATGTCATGTTTCAAGCTCAAAGTATTAGCAGAGTGTTGGATGATTTATAAAGCAAATTGAGCAGAACAATTTATACTGTGTCAGTGTCCTTGAGTGAAAAACAACCCACTCTGTCTGTGCCTCTCTGTGTGTTTAAATTGTTATTTGAAAAGTGCATCCTCAGTGCAGTTCTGAAGTTTTATTCTAATATTTTGTTCATTAGTGTGTACAGAGACTGCTGTACTTTTAAGGTTCCTTTATTTCTCATTTGTATTAGTTTGATACATATCAATAAAGCTTTTTAATCTTAAGGAACAAGTTTCTTGCATTTCTTCTCCAAACAGAATATCAAAAAATTATTTTCTGTATCTAACACTTGGCCTTGTCTGTCCTATAAGAAAGAGAACAATGAAAGAGAGTGAGGATAGCTTTTCTTTCTTCTTCAAAACTGTAAGTTTCTACTATATACTCCAACAGCTCTTTCCCTTTGCAGATCTTAGCTGACTTATGAAGTTCTTCCTCGATCAAGAGGATAGAGTATGCAGTCTTACAGCCCTTGTGGAAAACAAACTGCAGTATAAAAAGTGTATGTCCATGAACCAGAGAGATCGGTCAGAGGTTTAGAGCACTGGCTGCCTTTCCAGAGATCCTATGTGAGTTCCATTCCCAGCATTCAAATGAGAGCTCACAAATGTCTTTAGTTATAGTTTTAGAGAATATGATGCCCATTTTAGTCTCATTATACACTACATGTGGTGTACAGACATGCTTGCATGCAAAATACGCAAAACATTTAATAAAAAATCAATAAAATATTAAAGGATCTATGAGAAGTATTTTAGCTGGAAGATGTAAATGGAACCTTGTCTCCTACCCACCTATTTCCAAATTCCTAGGAACTGTTTTCCAAACTACCACACACAGGCTTATATTAATTATCAATAGTTAGCCAATAAATCAGACTTATTACTAACCAGCTCTTACATTTAAATTAACGCGTTTATATTAATCTATGTATCGCCACTTGGTTCAGATTTTACCGTTCTGCTGTCTTCTTATTTTTCTGGAAACTAACTCAAATCTCTTTTGACTCTGCCCCTCATTATCTGAGTACTGTTTGAATGTTCAGCCTAATCTTATCCTGACTAAATATTGGTAAAAAAGTTTTTTTTATTATTATTAACCAATGAGACAAAAACATATTCACAGTGTACAAAATGACCATCCCACATTGTCTTTCCCTTTTTCTTTAATTAAAAAGGACTGTACTGTTTTAACTTTAACATAGTAAAATTACATATAACAAAACAGTTATCAAACAAGAATTATAGTTACAATATCTAGTCTATTTGTATTTGACAAAATACAAATTTGGTGAGTTTAAATCCTAATTTGGTGAGTTTAAAGTTTTATATTTAATTTATCAGTTATCATTACTAAGGAAAGCTATAATTATCTAGTTTTCAGCTCCATCAAGACCTGAAAAGGAAATAATATTGCCTGTGTTTGCAAGAAATGCAAGCAATTAACTTCAAAAATATGTAAGAAATGACAGAAACAGTGAGCTGCTTTGACAGTCATTCAGGGTTCTTTTGTAACATTGGAGCATTCATCTTTGACCAACAGGTCTAACATATTAGACAGAATTTCCTGTGAAGAAGAGAATTTTGAAGAACTGTTCTACCAAAGCATAGCAGTCACCTTTTCTTGTGTTCTGCTGTTCCAGTTTGGACAGTAACTGTCAGCAATTGAGTCCAGAATAATTTCTTTGCCCACATGGCTAGCTTTTGCCATAAAGAAAGCAACCTCCATAAGGAGTTTCTTTGATGCTCATCACCCAGGAGCAGACATGTCTCACTTTCAAGAAAAGTCTAAGTTTTTAAACATATTAAATAATATAATCTATAGGTCTTTGAAGTGTTTGAAGATGACCACTTTGAAACATATCTTTGTATAACGTTGAAAACATATCTAACATGGCTACAAGTATGACTATTATGTATAGATAACTATTAGTTTTTATTTCTTAATTATGCATTATATTTTTAATTGAGCTGCATAAACACATTACCTTAAACAAGAGTAGAAATATGACATGGGATTCCCCTCTGTATGCTGTGAATATCATTGGTTAATAAAGAAGCTGTTTTGGGCCTATAGCAGGGCAGAACAGAGGTAGGTGGGGAAAACTAAATTGAATGTAGAAGAATGCAGAATCAGCGAGATGTCATGGAGCTTCAAGACGAGGTGCCAGAGGGAGAAGATGCAAGCTGCCTGTTAGAACCTTGCTGGTAGGCCACAAGCCTCATGATAAAATATAAAATAATGGAAATAGGTTAAGTCTACATGTAAGAGCTAGCTAGCAACATGCTTAAGCTATAATTTCTGTGTTGTTATTTCAATCTGGGCAGCTGAGAACAAACAAGCAGCCTCTTACTACAGAAATATACATACAGTATTACAAAATTAATGCTAAATTTATTTGTATCAATAAACTAAAATCCATCCCAATGTAAAATATATAAGATTAACAGTTGTTTTCTGTATTCAAATATATTCAATAATCTACCCTTTATTCAAATCATATCTGTATCTTATCCCCCTTTCTTCTTTTAAAAAGAGATTGACTAGGCTAATAAAAATTTGTATTCAACCCCCTTAAATGAAAACAAGTATTTATAACTAATATTTTGGGAATGAGAATATAGTTTTCTAGATTATTTCATGCTAATTTGTGAGTGCTCTTAATCTTTGAGAGACCCTGAAAAAATTAGGATAATTGTTAAGTCTTGATTGGAGTATTTTATGAAGTTGGAACATATCAGTCAGCAGCCTGGAAGCTGTTCTAGATGCTGAATTACCTGAGCCTTCATTTTTATTGGTTTCTGGTTCCATTGTTCTGAAAATATATAAACTTTTAAAGGTAACACACATAATATATATATGCATATATATGTATGTTTATACAAATATAAACTGTGCATTGTACATAAGGCAGTCAAGGCTAATTTTTTGTTTTATGATTGAGCTGGCAAAATACACACCATATGTCTTATAGTTACTTTAGGTTTATTTCCCAGGCCTGTAGTTATGATTTTTGGGGGTCTTCCTCAATTTGACCTGATTTTTCTTAACCCAGAATGAATACAGAATCTCCCATTTCCTATGGAAACAAAAGTATAACCTATGTTTCACAAAGTAATATTTTAAAAATATATAACTCATAAGTAGATAATAGACATAAAGCTAAGGAAAGTTGGCCTGTAGTCCATGACCCTAGAGAAGTTAGGTAACAAGCAAAACACTAGGAGAGACATACATGGTTGGGGGAAAAGGTAAGATCTCATGAGAAAATTGGGAGTTGGGGTCTTGGGAGAGGAAGGTTAGGAGAGAAGCAGAGGAGGGAGGAGAACATGAGGAAATGCAATTTATATTCTCTAGATATTTAGTAAAACTGTGTTCTCTCTAACCTTAGAAGTCATTTTGCCTCCTTTTCATGCTAATCTTTCACTTTTAGTATCCTTTTTAATATACGAAACTTGAAATCCTTCTAGTCCCACCTTCCCATCTTTGTCTTCCCAGGAATTTGTCTTTAAGTTTAATTCTAGGCGGTGGATACATGTTAAATGTTGGACTAGATAAAAATTATTCATTTGAAATATACTTTTTTAGGAGGAAAGAAGTTAAAGCATATATGCATGCATGTACTTATGCACACAGGCATAATTGTTCCCCTCTATGTGTGTGTGTATGTGTGTGTGTGTGTGTGTGTTGCAGTTAAGTAAATTTATAAAACAGCTTACATGAGCCATTTTTCCCTCATACATTTTCACATTGTTTGTATAATGTACTAAAATCTAATACTTACACAATTATCATTATTTAAAATGTGTCTTACATATTTCATGAAGTGTTTTCCTGCATAATCACATCACACAGTGAGTCCATTCTTTCATGGTAGTCATATTATTAACTGAAATTGGGCTGTGTGATGCTTTTCTTATGTGGCAATCCTTGCACATTCTTTGGGACATATGAAACTCATGGGCATATTGGGTTAATAAATTGGGAATTACATATCCAGGAAACTCAAAATGAGTTCCATACCCTTATTAACCAAAAGTCTGGTTATCTGCATAGAAAATACAGTTCAGCTGACTTAACAGGAATGACTGCTACTTTCCTTCTGTTCAAAAGATTTCTACTTTTCAACATCTGTGTGTAATAAATATTCACTAAATGTAGTCAGTCCTGGAAACCTTACATTGGTATTTTAACCCATAAAGGGAGATTTTACAACCCTCAAAATACAGATGAATAAGAGGAAGATTCTTTGAAGAATCCATGGCACAGGCATTGAGGTGAGAGGACATTTTGCAGGAACCAAGTCTCTACTACAGCATCTGGGAGACAAACTCAGGAGGCCATCAGTTTAAAGTCACCTTTCCTTACTGAGATGTCTTACCTGTCTGTCTGTGTTTAATCTTTTAGGGTTATTTTATCCTCTGGTTATAAAATTTTCTGTCTTATGTAATAAATTTATACTTATTAACAAAGATTGCTGTGCTGACTTTATTCATTGCCTCAGAAATAATTGTGAAATTGCTGGATAATATTTCCTAGGCTTTATATAGAGCTATTATGGGCTAAGAACATTCTGGCTCTATTTCTTCACATAAATAGTGTCTCTTAATTTTTAATAGTCATATCAGCAGATGTTGGGTGCATCTTACTGTGAATCTGATTTACATTTTTTTGATGGTTGACTGTGTTGACCATTTTTCATGCAAATATTAGCATGTGGGCTTCTGATTTTCAGACTCATCTAATAAGGACCTTGACCATATTTAAATCTGTTTACTTTTGCTATTGAGTTGTAGGTATTCCTATTGTATTTTGGTTCTTAATACCTTAACCAAAATTGTGTGCAAATATTTGCCACTGCAGCTTTTCATTCTTTATTCTTTGTTATTTTCTTTTACTTTGATGAGGTCATAATTGTCTGATTACACTTTTGTTGCTTAGTAAGTGTACCTAATATTAATGTGTCCATTCCCAAATAGGCCTGTAGGTATAAGAAAATTCCTATGACTTTTCTTCAAAAATAAAAATAAATAAATCTTATAATTCATACAGAGCATCAAAAGACCTCAAAGACAATTAAAAGAATAAAGGCATAGGTGCCAAATTTGTTAATTTGAGACTAAATTAAAAAGCAATAAAATTTATGTACCAATTTATGTTCATGGCTTAAAAACAGATATACAGACAAAACTAACAGAATACTCTGGAAACAAATATGCTCAAGTAATTAAAATAATTTTATTAATTCTTTGAGAAATTCAAGCAGT